CTAACACTAGAAGCTAATGGGAATCTACGTTTATATAGATGGGATAATGATGTTAATGGTTCCCGCCAATGGGTTCCAGAATGGGCGGCTGTCTCCAATCCTTGTGATATTGCAGGTATGCATCAAATAATAGATGCCTTTTTCAAAGTCAATTTATGTCATTGAAATAATTGGTTTTTGCTTTACCATTTCACAAATTCAGGGTCAATAAATATTAAACTTCAACTCATTTTGTAGGAATATGTGGTAATGGGATATGTAATCTCGACAGAAGTAAGACTAATGCCTCATGTACATGCTTGCCTGGTGCTACCAAACACGGCAAACAGTGTTCCGAAAACTCACCATTAATCCAAGAATGTAATCACAGAAACGATCAGACGTCTCAGTTTAAAATTTCAACAGTCCAACAAACAAATTACTACTTCTCTCAGTCTTCAATTCTAGCTAATTACAGTGACATTAAAACAGTTTCAAAATGTGGTGATGCATGTTTATCAAACTGTGAATGTGTGGCTTCAGTGTATGGGTTAGATGACGAGAAACCTTATTGTTGGGTGCTAAGGAGCTTGGATTTTGGTGGGTTTGAAGATCCTGGTTCGACCCTATTCATGAAGATCAGGTCTAACGAATCAATAGATCAGAACAGAGGTGGCTCAAGTGATTCGTCAGATGGGTCTAATGATGTCAAAGAGAAGGTTCTCATTATCCCAGTTGTTCTTAGTATGACATTTCTTGTTGGACTGCTTTGTCTTTTATTATACTATAATGTTCATAGGAAGAGAGCAATGAGGAGAGCTCTTGAGACCAACTTGATTTTGTCTGGTGCACCCATGAATTTTAGCTATCGAGATCTACAGATTCGTACGAATAATTTTTCAGAGCTACTCGGAACAGGTAATTTAACTTTTTACATAACCAAAACAGGAGATAAAAGTAAGAAGAAATTAACTCAACTAAATATATCTTTCTCATGCTAATATGAATAATGGTATTCTAGGATGTTGCTTATTGTTATTACTATTTTCGGAATGATGTTAAGGTTCATTTCTATATGCTAGTATGGTACGTTTTAACTTCTAATTTTTAAGGTAACTCCCTGAATATACAAAGAATTTTTTCTTTTATAAAAATCTTTACGTAGAATCACGAAACTATAAATAGAAAATTAAGTAATTTATTCAACCTGTAGTGTCCATTTATATTACCGAACTAAATTTTTATACAAACATTTTTACCTATAATATTATTCGTAAAATACGAAAGTGAAATCTTTTAAACCCAGGATTGAAGGAAGAAATACACATCTTTATCGATTGGCCTAATTTGTATTGCCTATTTTGTAGGAGGTTTTGGAAGAGTATACAAGGGAAGCCTTGTAGATGGGACTTTGGTTGCAGTAAGAAACTAGACAGAGTTTGCCTCATGGCGAGAAGGAGTTTATAACTGAAGTTAATACTATTGGCTCTATGCATCATGTAAACCTAGTTCACCTTTGTGGTTATTGTTCTGAGGGCTCACACCGGTAAGTCTTATCTATTTAATGGATTAGACAATAGGAACTAATCGTTTGTCTTTATGTGGTGTTTACATAAAGTATAGATTTGAATTAATTCGAGAACTGACGAATTTATATCTACGTATTGACAGTCTCTTGGTGTACGAATTTATGAAGAATGGATCATTGGACAAATGGATTTTCCCTTCACATACAAGCCAGGATAAGCATCTAGATTGGCCAACTCGGCTCAACATCGCCATTGGCACTGCCCAAGGGATTGCATACTTCCACGAGCAATGCAGAAATCGGATAATTCATTGCGATATAAAGCCTGAAAATATTTTGCTAGATGAGAACTTCTGTCCAAAAGTTTCGGATTTTGGACTGGCTAAGCTAATGGGAAGAGAGCACTCTCGTGTTGTAACTATGGTGAGAGGCACAAGAGGTTACTTGGCTCCTGAATGGATCAGTAATCGACCCATTACAGTAAAAGCTGATGTCTACAGCTATGGCATGCTTCTTCTGGAGATTGTTGGTGGGAGGAGAAATCTTGATATGTCTTTTGATGTAGAGGACTTCTTTTATCCTGGATGGGCTTTTAAGGTAACCTAAATCAAATAATCTTTTCATTAATTAATTATTCTTATAATAAATTAATCTATGATAATTTTGAAAATTGGGCTAATTAATCAAAGGGGGAAACTTTCTAGGAGATGATAAATGGGACAGCAACAAGAGTTGCAGACAGGAGATTACAAGGGGCAGTGGAAGAAGAAGAGGTGACAAGGGCATTGAAAGTTGCCTTTTGGTGTATCCAAGATGAGGTGTCTGTGAGGCCTTCAATGGGCGAAGTGGTGAAGATGTTGGAAGGATCAGTAGTGGAAATAAACACACCGCCCATGCCACAAACTGTCTTGGAATTGATTGAGGAAGGGCTGGATAGTGTGTACAGGGCCATGAAGAGGGAGGTTAATCCCTACAGTTCCTTTACCATTACTACTCAAGCTTCTTTTCGCACTCAGGCTACTTGTAGTTATTCCACAATGTCGCCTAGATAATAATAATAATAATAACAATAATGTCTAAAAGCAAAGGAAAATTTTGTTAAATTTCTCTACATGATCTAAATTGATCGATAGGTTTCTAATCATGACAAAGTTCTGGTCAAACTGTTCAATTGGCCGAATATCAAATCAGACTCTGCGGTTCATGTAAATTAGTTTTTTATTTTGTGAATTCAGTAATTTGTAATTTTTTTTTTATCATTTTTAAATAAAAATTTATAAATTTTAGTAATTAAGTAATACCAACACGCCAACAACAGCATAATTAATAACATTACAATAATTTAACGAGAATAACACAAAATGTACAGTTCAACTCGAATTCACACTCTCATATAAATCAACAGAAATACGAAACATCTAGGCAAAAAATGATTGGTTTTCTTTCTTTTCATTTAAAAAATTATTTTTTAAAAAATATCCACACATCTTCACTGATGTTTTAAACATTAACACTAAATACTAAAGATTGAACAAATTAAAAATAAAAAATTAAGATAATAACCTACAAACTAACGATATAAAATAACAAGAAACCAATCCAAAGTAATTGTCTAAGGAAACCATACTTAATTTGTATACAATAAGTTACAATAAAGAAAAATTACACATAATTTTCAATGTTTTACAGGATCCGTAGGCCAGATAAACATGTTCCAGTTTGATCCCAACAGAAGGCAATTCTATTGGGTTTATAAGAAATAGGTTTAATTCTATAATTGTTTACCTTCTGTTTTCTTTTAATTCGAAACCTATTTCGCAATTAGGAAATTCTACTTGAAACGAAGTAATAGAAAAATAGAGATGAATTTTGTAACTGAATAAACATGACATGCAATACATCAGGCGTTGAATTACATGTCATACATTTATATTAGTTTAAAACTAACAAGAATTTTCTTCGCATTACATATTTTTTCCTCTTTCTATAATCCCTATAGAACAGATGATAATTTTGTATAATATACAATATTCAATACAATACAAGAATATCTGCCTTAAGATACAAACCGAAGATTGCATGATGCTGTAAAATATTATTCAAGCCGAACACAAGACCAAATTCACTCCGACAACATCAGACTCACTGCAAAACAAGGTTAAGAAAATTACCCAGAAGAGTGTCTTTAATCCTTATAGCATAGAAGTTACTCGGACCGAGTTATCAGCTGATCCAGTCAAGAAAATGGGCAAGGTAGGATGCCAGTCGACAGTTGTTACAACATCAGTGTGTGGAAGGGTTTTCAATCCATTAGTATGACCTCGAACCTGCAAAAAATAAAGGGTAAAGCAGAAAAAATTGAGCCTATTCAGAATAAAAGCCAGAAGTATTGCACCTATACCTAAAGAGTCTGCACGATAGTGTGAGAGAGAGAAAGAGAGAGGAGAGAACAACCTGATATATAGGTGCTCGTACTAAACCAGATGTTGTCAGGAGTCTTTTCCCATTAGCATCCAAAGCCATTTCATGTCGACAATGCATCGCGGTTTCAGGATCACAGAACCTATAAAATGGAGTACCGAAGTTAATGAATATATCTCTATCTTTACATACATATTGAACATTCAAATCAAGTGACACCCAGTTCAGGCAGGGGAAGACATGACATTCTGGAGGCACATAGCTCAAAACTCGAGATATTTATATATTTACATATGTATTGAATATTCAAATTAAGTGATACTCAGTTCAAGCAGAAGACAAGAATTTCTCAAGGGACATTTCTCAAAACTCAAAAGACAATTTCTACCTTAACCAAATACGGTTCGAGACAAATGTGCATGTCCCATCAAGAGAAAACAAAATACTGACGCTGATTTTAACAAACTAAATTAGATGGTATTGGGTAAAAGCTAATAAATCTTGTAATCACACCAAAATAATTGAATATCAGCTGAATTTACTTCCAACAAGCAAATAAATCTTATGCAAAAACAAAATACCCCCGGTCCTTATATCTGAGAATATCATGGTTGTGTACTCACCATCCTCCAAAGATGACAACTTAGCATCATCATCCAAAACAATAGGGACATTATATAAAGCCCATAAAAGATTAGCAAAACAAACATAGCCACTGGAATAAGAAGACATAAAATAACGCAAGAATACCTGCTACAATCCCTTGACCAAAGAACTTGTCCTTGGTTTTGCAAGCTCCACTCAAATATCTGCTGCCACATCAATTTTTAGAGTTTCTCCACATTTAGTATAAAGATTTTTTTAAAATAAAAGATTAAATATATTCAATAACAACAAGGAGGCGCAACCATATAAAGTATTTGTAAATTTAAAAAATATGGGTAGATGCAAACAAATTTGAAGCGTAATGATGTAATGAACATGATACTTGCCTTGCCATCTGTTCCCAAGCTAAAAATACTAGTCTCATCAGGCCCAAAAAGAAGGGAGCTTATGGCTGAATCATGTGCAGGCCATCCAGTTATTGGCAGACCAGCAGACATATCTTTTGCTCATTAAGGTGCAGATTAGGCATGCATTTAATACATAGACACCGTTGCTTGTGCATGAAGTAGTGCAGTTCCCTAAAAAGTTTCTTTTTAGTTTTTTCTCCCTCTACAAGTATTATCATCTTTTAGGTCCATGTGCCACAGGGACTTGGAAATAATGAGTATTCCATTTATATGTAAATAATAAGCCACTTAATTGTAACACATC